CCTTTGGGACTCGCATCACCCATAACGATTCAAGGGAAGTCGCTGATCCAGCAAGTATGGAGGACAGGCATCTCTTGGGATGAAGAAGTTTCACACGAGTTACACGTGTTATTTTGTAAATGGATATCGGAAGTGAAGAAATTAGGTCACTTAGAAGTACCTAGACCCGTTGCTGAAGGCATCGGCAAAGGAGAGTTACATACTTTCACGGATGCTAGTGAAAAAGCATACGCTGCCGCGGTGTATTACGTCACCACGGACGAGCAAGGAATAAGGCGGATTACGCTGATCGCCGCAAAGGCAAGAGTAGCGCCATTGAAACCAATTTCGATTCCAAGGCTTGAATTGCAAGCAGCTCTTATGGGCAGCAGACTGGCTGCTTCGGTTAGTGAAGAGAGCAAGTACGAGATGTCCGAGAGAGTGTTTTGGACAGACTCACGTACAGTGTTAGCGTGGATTAAGTCGGATCCTCGCGCTTTTAAACCATTCGTTGCTCATCGATTGGCTGAGATCGAAGATCACAGTAAGCCATGTGAATGGCGATGGGTTCCAACGTCACAAAACGTGGCAGACGACGCCACTAGAAATTTTCCTTCCACCTTCGATGTAAGTCATCGCTGGTTTCAAGGACCTGAATTCCTCAGGAAAAGTCCTGATTTATGGCCCAAACAAGTGGACACCATAAATAGCTTAGAAACAGGTGAAGAAAAAATCGCCAAAGGGCATAAATACGTTAAGAAAGCAAGAACCGTTAAGTCTACCCGACTACGGACGATTTAGCAGCTTTAAGAAATTCCTTGGAGCAACTACACGCACCTTACAAGCGGTAGAAAAATTCAAGAGTTTAAGAAAGTCGGTTAAAGGACCCGACGACGCAACCGAAAAGTCGGTTATGTGTTCCAACAAAGTTTTAGCAAAGTCGGTTAAAGGACCCGATAGCGCGTTGGACACAGCGCTCTTGAAAAAGGCGGAAATATTAATTTGGAAATTCATTCAAGACGAGTGTTTTCATTCGGAAATAAAATGTTTGAAAGCAGGCAAAAGCGTTGAAAGAAGTTCACGCTTAAGTAAATTATCTATGGAAATAGGAGAGGATAACTTACTCCGTTTAAATGGACGTTTACCTTTCAAGTCTAATTTGACCGAGGAAAGTAGAAAACCTGTCATATTAGACGGTAAACACGAAATCGTTAAAATGATGATTAGAGAAGTTCATCATCATTTTGGACACGCCAATCACCAGACGGTGATGAATGAGGTGAACCAGAAATTTTACGTCTTGAACTTGCGTAATGTAGTACGAAGTGTGTCACACCATTGTCAGTGGTGCAGGACATACAGGTCAAAGCCGCAAAACGTGCCACAAGGAAATATTCCTCTGGAAAGAATAGCTCATCATGAGCCACCTTTTACATGCTCAGCTGTAGATTATTTTGGTCCTATGAGTGTGACTATAGGAAGGCGACACGAAAAACGTTGGGGCGTTTTATTCACGTGTCTGACCACCAGAGCAGTACATCTGGAATTAGCAGCCTCATTGACACCAGCGTCAATGATAATGGCGTTAAGGCGATTTATCGCCAGAAGAGGAAAACCAGCCGTTATATACAGCGATAACGGGACAAATTTCAAAGCTGCAAATAAAGAATTATTGAAAGCATGCGAAGAATGCTATGAGGGCATGAAAAACGAGTCATTTAAGAAATATATTAAATGGAAATTTATACCTCCGGGAGCACCGCACATGGGTGGCGCCTGGGAGAGGTTAGTAAGATCGATTAAAATTGCGTTGACCGCTACGCTTAAGGAGAAGAGCCCACGAGAGGAGGTTCTACATACGTTACTTTTAGAAGCAGAGCATACGGTAAATTCCAGACCTCTGGTAACATTCAGTATGGATAGTCCTGAAGAGGGTTTGACACCCAATCATTTTCTTCTGGGACGCTCATGTGGTGATCGACCACCTGGATTATTTTTAGAGCGACATCTGACGGGTCAACTCAATTGGAAAGCTGCACAGAGGTTAGCCGACCATTTTTGGACAAGATGGCTGAAAGAATACATGCCTACGTTAATACCTCGAACAGGTGATAACGGCAAGTTCATGGAACCTAAAGAAGGCGATATTGTTTTGATAATAGATCATTCGTTGCCACGAAATACGTGGCCAAAAGGTAAAATTAGTAGAACGTTACCGGGACCAGACGGTCACACCAGAGTGGTTGACGTCATTACTAGCACAGGTATCTTGAGGAGACCTACATCCAGAATAATAGTCCTGGTACCCGCGACGCCTCCCAAATGATGGTGCTAACGCACGGGGGGGGAGATTGTTGGCGACGCGCCTATAAAAATGTTTCAGTTTATTAAATCAACCGATGACGTTGCTATGAAAAAAGGGGTAGTCACGAGCAACGACGCTCTGATAAGAGAATGCTTAGTTAAATCTTTAAGAAATGTCGAATTAATGATATGAAGGTCTTGGGTTCGACTCCCAGGCCGGACTAGTTTGTTTGTTTTCCTAAGTAATATCGCTTAATAAATTCGTAAGGAATTTAAGATATAAATTATGTTACCGGATTTGTTCCCCGGTTGAAATCATCTTTCAAATGATGTAAATTCATAAGAATATTAAAGTGAAGTTAAAGATCGGATTTGTTCCCCGGTCGAGATAATCACTCTGTGCATAGGCAGAATTAATGGATATTAATTGCATAAATGTTGTTTTGTATAAGTTTGATACGTTTTGTACGAAAACAAATGCCTATTTGTTATGATTGATTAATGAGAACATTCATTTATATTGTTATCTGATTAAAGATAGTTTCATACAGTTCGAAAATTGTATAAAAGCACTTAATTTGCCTAATATGGTCAAAATTGGTGTATTTCATAATTTAATTTTTTCTGATAGCCGAGAGCCGTGCAAAGTTAGTTGTTCACATAGCGTGAGTACACGGAAGCACGCTGGCCACGCCCTTAGGAGGCCGAATATGTAAAAATTTAAAATGTTTGTAATTCAGTGATTTATGTAAAAATTACTTGTAAAATATTTCAGGTTAATTGTACGTGCTAAAAAGGTAAATTCTGTGTTATTTTCATGTGAAAATTCCTGTGTATAAGTGAAATAATGATAGTTTTGTATAAGAAATTTAAAAGTGTTTTAAATAGTGAAATAAATAGAAAAAAATGTAAATTAAACTATTGTATTGGTTAGCTTATGTATAAATTCAAGTGAGAAACATTGTTTTAACTTTCTGTGTTAAATATTTAAGAAATTTCGATTTCGAACTTGTGAGTAAAATAGGCAGTTTTCGTTTAATAAATAAAAGGTTTTTTATGATATGAGGATATGATGTATATCATGGTGTAGATATTGTTTTGTACTACCTATATTGATAAATTGTATTTGTATATGATTTGAATAAATAAAGATATTGAGTGAAACGTGAGAGAGTAATAGTACAAATTCATGTAATTAAGTTGCGCAAGCGCGCAGATGGCGCGGCTCACTTTCGCGTTTAGCTTAGGGGTAGGATAGTAAATTGATTTTATTGCAATTCGTTCGGGAATCGTTCGGGAATCGTTCGGGAATCGTTCGGGAATCGTTCGGGAATCGTTCGGGAATCGTTAGGGAAATATTCAAGGAAATCGTTCGGGAAATATTCAAGGAAATAGTTCGGAAATAAATAAGAAAATCCGGGAAAAAGTTCAAGAAAAGTGAAAAACCAGCAGTATAGGGAAAAGTGATTACTCTCTCACGGAACGGTTTGAAGATAATTGCTGTTTCATTCCCAAGATCCTTTAAGTTATACAGTCCACATCGAAGAATTAAGGCGTCGGGACCGGGACGACTTCGGAAGACCCGTAATCCCCGTCTGAACCTACTTGCTGAAAAGGAAGAGGTTATCGCCCTAGTGTGTTACTCCGTTGCGGAGATCACATACGTTGTTCCCGAACCCAACGTAGGCGTGATAGGAGGCCGGATCGAGAGAAGCCTCGATTCCTGTTTCTTAGTACCCGATCCGCTAGGTCCTTTTCAATTGGTCCTTTTCAGGATCAAGAGGGACACCGACCTGGTCCTTTTCAATTATATTATATCAAAAGCTCATGTCGATGCTTTCTGGTTTACCCGCGTTTATGGTGTGTTGAGTACGAATACAAAATATTTTTTGTCAATAGGCCTTCTTATTTTCTTCTTTATCAGACTACAAAATCTCACTTCTTTACTTGAACTTCTCTTGTTGTGGATTAGCCGTGGTTGTCACTCTTGGCACTCCAGTTCACAATCACTGTACCAGACGTCTCATACCTACGTTTGAAGTTGGTCACCATCGCCGGTCTATATTTTTTATTTCTGGCGCTAATATTTATATAGCCATCTATCGGACACCATGAGGTATTTCTGGCATTTACTAATGGGATACTTTTATTTTTATCCTTCTCCTCAGAGTAGGTCACAGTCAGGTGAAAGCAATAAAAAAGTGTGTGCAGTTCACACGCGGTAAAAGTGAAAACTTCAGAAATTATTCAAAGAGGAAACCGAGACAATAGGAAACGCTGTATACTGTATTCTTTCTCGTTCCCTCGCAGGCGAAATCCTATAGATGAATATGTTTGTCTTCTTTTAGTGTCGCTTTTTCATTTCATCGAATTTCAAATCACAACGATTCTAAAAAAGTTTTCATTACAAAAAATCCATTAATCCATAAAAATTTAAAAAAATCCATGAACACGTAAAAATTTCAAAAAATCCATTAACTCGTAAAAAATTTAAAAAATCGTATCGTATCGTGAAAAGCTACTTTGGTAGACTCCAGAAAGATCTCATATTACGTACAATCCCCAACCTGGCTACGGAGAACACCTATAAAGGTTCGTGACTGGCTCTACAATTGCCAGCCAACTTCAAACATGAACCGGATCCATTGCCAATAGTGGTAACTGTAAAAATAAACTGTAGAGACTTGAAATAATGTTGAGTTCCATACCATACTCACCAACTTGTTGATTGACCTGCGAGGCGACGAAGAGACTCTGTACGTATGCACCCAATGCGTTCACAATGTCTTGGAATATATTTGTGGCGTGCGGCTTCATGTCGTAACACTCGCAGAACGCCTTAAGCAAATCTAGTAGGTTAGAATAAAAACAAAATAATTACATTACTAAAAAATATAGAAGAAATTTAATATGAGTGAAGTCTGACGAAAATTATTAAGAGTCATAATGAATAATGAATATACATACATTACTACAGGTATTTAAAAATCCGTCTACTGAAATATTAAATCCTAGTACAGCTCTCTATGGAGATTTGGTGAAAGGGGACTAATTATTTATTTATTAAATTTATCTTTCTGAATAATAAATATTAATGCACTTTTGTTATGAAAGAGCTTAATCCACAAAAACATTGCACCTTTGTTATTAAAGAGCTAAATCTCAAAAAAATTATGTTTTTGGGATTTAGCTCTTGAGACGCTTAAAATAATTGACATGGGTAATATAATGTAATGTGGAAGCCAGCGGGTACTAAAATATTCTAAAATTATCTTTTTTATCATTGAAATTATTCTAAAATCATCTGACCACAGATCAACATAAAAATATAAGACGGAGCACTGCATATATTTCAAGTGATACCGAAACCCAGCCAAAACCTTGTTCAACTTATTGTAAGAACACGGACTCACGAACTGTGCACACGCACAAACAACGCTGCAACCAACAACAGGGTTTAAAACGCTACTCCTAGCGAACGACCTTGAGCTGTCGGTCCTATACATTTCACGCGCTCTCGCTACAATACATCGCATAAGAAATACGCCCAAATTTTAAAATATTTTGTTTATAAAATCGAATTTTAGTCTTTGAAAAAATTAAATATGTAGATCAAAATGTTCATCAATAAATAAGCCTATCCATTAGTGTCAATGGCAAAATAAAATAATGCTTACTTTATAAGGAGGTGCATGTCATCAATAATTATTTCGCATTTCTGTGGTTCAGTTGTAAGAAGATTCATCAAGTATTTACTCCTTTGATTAAAACTACTTTTACGGATTTTATCGCGTTTTTCCCGACGTTTTTGTGGCGGTAATAAATAACAGTAATAAAATCAAGGTGTCAATAAATGGTATGGTATTTTTTTTATAGTGAATGGATAATTTTAAAATAAAATAGCAATCTATACCTAATTCTATAAGATTGAATGTTATTATGTGTATAGTGATAACGTAAGATCACCGCAAACCAAATCTGATGAAGAGCTTGTATTTGTAACCTTTTATTTATATTGTACTTTCTTGCTACAAACACTGAATTTTAAAATATTAAATTTTGTGCAAATGGTTTAACACAAAAACGAAATACAAATTGTAAGTAAAAAACGAAGTTATTGTATTGCTACTCACGCGGCTGTATAGTCATCTTGTGGAGCACTTCTAAAGCAAGAGCACGTTGCCAAAGAGGTTTGTCCGGGTCCAGGAACTTGATGGTCAATGACAGAAAGATCTCACATTCGGTAACCTACAACACAAACATTGAGGCAAAAATTAAGATTACAGTCCATCACAAGTCAACTGGTAAATATAGGCCTCCCCCAAGGAATTGATATAAAGTTATAAAAGCTTATTTAATAGAATACTTGGTAGAGCCATGCTGAAGTTATATTAGTAGTATAGTTGTAGCACGAATGGGTCAGCTCGACCGGGGAAGGACCACGCTCTCACAGAATACTAGCGTAAAATTAATTAATTAATTTTATGTTTTTTACTTAATGCTGCTGTGTTTCGTATGATGAGTGTAGATAACCGCAGACCCTTTCTACGGGAAACGAGGCATTCCATCTTAGTTCTCACGGGTGACAGTAGATGTGCATTTTAATTCGTAATCGAGAGAATCTTTATTTGGTTATAAGATTTTAATTTTTTACATTAATTTGTCAAACCACTAAGCAAATAAAACTGTACAATGTGAGTTATAAAAAAATTAGAAAAATTCAGAATTTAATATAAGCGCCTGCATTTTCTACCAGTTTTTTCAAACGTCTTGGAATATCTGCTACGGACCTTTGTAGAAAGTGTTGAGATACATTTGTTAGCACTTGCTGAATTCTTACTTCCAGTTCATCAAGAGTGCGAGGTTTTGAGCGATAGACTTCATCGTTTGCCCAACCCCACAGGAAAAATCGAAAGTCGTGAGGTCCGGGCTACGAGCAGGGCATACGTGTCACCCGCGGCGACCTAACCAACGCCCTGGGAAGAGGTTATCCAGCCACTGTCGGACATTCGATGCGAAATATGGTGAAGCTCCATCTTGCATAAATATTATATTTTCAATGTTATCAAACGTTGACAAAGCTGGCTAAACTCTTTTTTCGAGCATGTTGAGATAGCGCTCTCCATTCATTGTTTCCCTCAAAAGAAAAGGGCCAATAACTTGACTTGATGTCATACCGCACCAAACTGTTACCTTGGAACGGTTTTGCATTTTCTGAGCAGTTATTTTGGGGTCAAACTCTGCTCAATAATGACAGTTATGACAGTTAACAAAGCCCCCAACGTGAAAAATTGCTTCGTCAGTCCAGATAATGTTATCAAACAGTTCTGAACAATCTCCATGCCATCTGAGCATAATCTCTCCGTATTCCATCCGGCGATCACAGTACTCTGGAGTTATTTCATGGCGGTAATGTGGCTTCCAAGGACGAAAGCTGATAGACTTAAGGGCTGTCATTACAGTGTGCCGAGTAAGTCCGCTCTCACGAGCTGCTTGACATGTTGAATTGTAGGGGCTTTTTGTGAACATTTCTCGAACAATTTTAATATTTTCTTCTGATCTTGATGTTGAAGGACGGCCGGTTCTTTTACTATCTACCACTGATCCAGTTTTCATCAACTTTGAATGACAGTTTTTAATGGTTTTTGGATCCAAAACAGCATGAGGTCCGTTGAAATTCCGCCACCACCTCCGCACTTCCACTATTGATTGCCACACTTCGTAGCGAGAGGCAATTTGCGCTCGCTCTTGCATTGACAATCTCCCTTGAACCATTTTATGATGTTTTACCTAGTTCTCAATCTATAAAGAAAAAAATTACATAAGATTACATGCATTTGGCCGAAGCTGGTAAAGTTTACAACCAAATAAAGATAGGGAGTTTCTTTTCAACCACCCAGTAGATGTCAATGGGTCACGGCAACCACTTATCATCAGGTGGACTGTGTGGTCGTTTGTCACCCTATCATATTAAAAAAAAGAATAGTATACACAATCGGGAGGACCAAATACAAATCGGTGAAAGATTCGGGCGATATTACGAAGCACCGCCTTCTGTATTTGGGCTCAAAGAAGTCACCTAGTCCCAGTCGCCTCAGATGACTCAAGTTGCTGATCTCTGACCCATTCACAGGACAATATTTATTTAAATCCTTTAAATAACAGAGCGTAACCCGTGTAAGAGAATTGATCACCCTATTCCGTCCCATTAGTGTCGTAAGACTAAGGGAAATGATAGAAATACAGGCTTCCGACAGATGGCGGTGGGTGCCGTGATTGTCGTAAGAGGCGACAAAGGGAAACAAATATGGAAATGTGCAGCCGGCAGCAGCGTCTATATACGGCTAAAAATAAAAAACTGTGGTAGCCAACCCGCACGTCAAGCGTAGCAACTGCGGCAAATGAGGTATCTATGGGGGAGGCCTATGTTCAACAGTAGACTTTAATATGCTGTAACGGTAACGGATAGATGGCGGTATAAGTAGAGAGATAATCCGATCACACGTACGTAACTTATGGAACATATTATGTCGTCTGGACTCTTGATTTTGTATGAAAAATTATACATTAGAAACACACTCATCATATGCAATGCATTCACACGCGTCCGACGCAACGTTCATCTGCGATGTCTAGATCGGCGTGGGAAGGTGGTGGGGATGTTTGTACGCAAACCCACGCGTACGACCAGTCACCAGTGTTTCTGGAACTTACGCGTAGGCGTAGGACATCATAAACAAATAGACCTTTGCACGCGTTCTCTTATCAAAATGGGAGATGAATAGCTCATTAAGACGATTCAAATGTGTTTATAATATTTTATGTGTAGAATATCGCGATGATACATTAGTGGTCTGAGATATCACTATTCTCATAAGAATTGCGTTATACAGTATGGGAAGAGATAGCAAAACTACATGGTAAACCTAGTGAGTACCTATCCACCTACTGCTATCACTTTTGTTATTAGCGTGAAAGGGAGAAGTTGATGCGCGACATAAAAAAAAATATTATTTGTATTTTTAACCTAATTATGTTATAATTTAAGAAATCACTGATTGATTTATAATACAGAATAGACAATATTTTAGTAACATTTTCATGTGGTATTAAATTGGTTCTCTCGGCTTTCATCGGGCAGCAAGGGTTATGCATCGTTTGCGACCTGAACCGAGTGTTGTATTATTTAAATTTTTCACTATATCTATCTCTATTTAAACTATGCATCTCAATAACATGCTACAATAACGCTCATAAATCACTTTTTTAATTTTCAATATTTTTGTTACAAAATACCTTATTATGGCTTATGTATAAGAAATACGCATAGGTATCGCAGACTTTATTTTAGATGGAGTAAAGATCAATATTTTTGTAGAACATTGTATTCACGTATCACTAACCACTACGCCAGCGCACACGGAGTTCGGGAGCGCTTTTTCTTCCGACTTGCTTAACAATATTTAATGCTAGCTGAGAGGTGTAGCTTAATGTTAGCGTAATTCCTCATGAATCTGGCTATCATTTCAAATTGGACTGGTAGTTCCAGAGATTCATGATTCTAGAGCGTGTTTAAAAAACAAACAAAACTCCATCGCTTTATTACATTACTACAGATATGAAACATGATTTTTAAGTATATATTTCATAAATAAGACATTGTATTTTAGCTATTCATGTATTTGTTTGCATTATAATTTCTAGTTAGCCACAAATATCGGCTACCTAAATCTATCAGAAAAAGTAATACATTCTCAAACTTACTCTCAGAATAAGAAAACATGGTATAAATTTCTACTCGTGCGTCCGCTGAGAAGTGACAAGAGCATCTGACGCCCAATGTACGTCGCATACGTAGATCAAGTGTGTATACTAACGCAGTAGCATTGCAACGCATACGTTGCGCATGTGGGACCAGTCTGTCCTTACCCTAATCACCTTGTTTACGCCAGACGTAAAATACTAAGACCGACGACAGACAGCATCGTAAAAGGTGCGAGACGTCCGGTAATGTGACGTGAATCAAGCCTGCCAATTAAGACAAATGCAATATACAACGGTGGAGGCCCATTTGTTTATATATAAGAGAAACGAGCACGCGGATCACCTGATGGTAAGTGATTACCGCCGCCCATGAACAACTGTGATTTTAGCAGAGAACTTCGACTCGATAAAGGAAAATAAGATTTAGCAGAAACTAAGGAGTACGCACCAGCACTTCATGGTATTTATGCACTATAACGGAGACGAGCCGCAGCAAGCGCATGGTGACGGGGAAGTGCGGGCGCTCGGGCGCCGGGCTGCCCGCCCCCCCCCCGCCACCCGCACCCCCCGCACCGCCGCCCGCGCCCGGGATGTGCAGCGACGTGAATGCGGCTCTATCAACAAACGTATACAATTTAAATTACAATACCAATTATTCATACCGCATAATTACGGTTGTGGCGGTGCTATCGTCGCGCCACAAGTCTAAGGCCGCGTTTCCACCTGTAAGAACACTCGCGGAAGTCTTGCATAAGTTTCTTGCAATACTGTTTACATATTATCAAATGAATTCTTGCAATTTTTTCTGCAATAAATATCTCGAGAAAAGCTCGCGAATCATCCTATTGTAACTTATCTATATTTATCGTATTTACACACAAGAGCCATAGATGTCAGCAGGTGGAAACGCGGCCTTATAATTTTCTTGCCATATCCCATGTTACGTATAATATATTATATAATATTATCCCATAATTAAAGAATTGAAGAGAGTTGTAATAATTTAATTCTTTTTTAAAGATTAAAATTAAACTTTTAATTTTTATCTTTAAAAACACGAACTTTTCTTTCATTGCGATCAGGAACATCGATAATGGATGGCGAAATAATCGGGCCGTAGTATGCGATATTGCTAATTAATTATATAAAGGATAAGAGATTCTCATCAATAATGGATTATTCTGAATGTCTATTTAAATCGAGTGTACTTCTTGCAAAATATACGAAACTAGGCCGATGAACAGCGAGATCTGTCGCGAGTCGAACTGTCCCACGTGCGCTTGCTACGTAGTTTACATCTGCAAGCTACTGTCTGACAGACTGTCGGATACTTCTTGCAGAAGTTTTCTTGCTGGTGGAAACGCGGCCTAAATCACGCTATCAAAGTTCCGAAGTACTGCGATATATAACAGCTACACACACACGGAGCGTTAAACGCTCCCCGGGCTGAACATCTTTCCTGGTTGAAGATCTCCCCTTTTCCTTGTACGGCTAAACACTTTTAGACATCACTACGTGGCGAAAATTTGGTGCAATTAACTAGCAATTGGGCCTTTCCCTTACAGGGAATATGTATTTAGTTAAAGAATGTGTACATTCAAATATGTAAAATATAACAAATTAATAACTAATATGTAATTTGTGATAGATTATTTAATAGAATCTGGTGATACTTTACGGTGTGTCTTTCCTAGTGTAAAGATGTTGGGATTAGTAGTGTTTAGATTAGAGGTGACGGGGATAGTGCACGCAATTGAGAGGCCGGGAGGTCTTGTTCAAAGTAGGAAAGACAAATCATTTTATTTTATTACGCGGGTTTTAGCCAGTAAATTTTTAACATTTTTAATTAAGTGGTAGAGTCAAACTAAGCGGACTATGACTACAGCCCAATTGGGTTGCTCGACCAGCGTAAGACCACTCTAGCTCAGAATACCATAACTGTAATTTTCGTAGTAAAACGGCATTAGCTGCTCATGTGCGTGTTGGCAGACTTAACGTGTCCTCAAAATATATTATTTCACAGACATGTAGGTTCCAGAACATAGTAAATCAGCACTTAAAATTGCAATTAACAATTATGGAATTCAAGAAATCACAACTGCGAAACTTAAGGCAAAGAAACATACATTCCATAAAATTTTTCAGCAATATAATAACATTTTAGTCTATATTTTATGTTCGTCTAGCAATCAGGCACTAATTAACATATGCAATGCTTGATTGATTTTTTGACTTGATTAAACACTTACATCTACCCTCAATTCAGAATTAATATGCTTGTGTTGTCACAATATTGTACATAATTTGCTGCAATCATAACCCTACTTTTGACTTTGTGGCACTAGCCATAGTGTACTGAGGCTAACCACGTAAATACATATTAAAAATATGGAGTATTCACAAAAACCGTAACCACGTAAAACATATGAAAATTTATGGAACATTAACAAAAACCGTTGATAATAATTTATTATACTACTTACTTAAGTTTAATTAACATACCTATACTTCACGTTTGGAGAAAAAAGCCTTATTATCAGAGCACAGACATGCTCTTTCAGCAAAAATCTAAATTCTTGAATCTGTAAATGCCAAAAAAATACTCAAATTTAATAAATACTACAAATACATTTAATATAGTATATCTATGTGTTTTACTATGATATGTGGATATTATTAAATAAAACTATTTCATAGGCCTACAGTAATTTTATCTTTATATGCCAAAATTATATAGAAAATAAGTCTAAATCTTACTAGTTTAGAAAAAAACTTTCATTCATAGTGTATTTTTGTGTTTATATACTCCAAACACGCATCTACAATATTTGTAAAACAAAAGCAAAACTATTATACTTCATTTTAATAAAAATCACAAATAGAGTATGTTAAGTAACATTTCTAAGAGGTAAATATTTCCTTACTTTAAAAAACACAGCTGAGAAATCCGTCAGAACAGTGTCAAGCAGCTCCAAGCCAAATGTTTTTGGCACTTCAGATATCCCTACCAACCAGTGAGCGGCGTCGCCATTTATTAGTTGAATTATGTCCTGTCGAAAAATAGAAAATATTCAAGCGAGGGCTCATGATTTAGCGTACGAGACAGTTTTTAAGTGTAATTTTTAACACATTAGCATTTACCACTTATGATCAAAATTATTTGAATTTGTAACTTTGATTTTAATTTTTTAATGTTAAAAAAGGTTAGAAAAGTTAAAAAGGCTAGAAATGTAATGTACAATACACTATTAAAACATTAAGAAGGTGAGCTCTGAAGGGATTTCATACGCAAAGACTTGTGATTTTAAAAAAGTTTCGAGATGTTCAATTATAAAACCTTTTTTTGTTATTTTGATTCTTCAAAATAAGAGAGACTGGAAAATAAGAAAAAGACTTATTAATATCTAATCATTTACTTTATTAAATATCTTGAACTTAATTGACCTTTGAAAGTAGGCTAAATGAACTGAGACAAATATCTAATGATTAAAAGCAATATTGTCTTGCTTATCAAGTATTTATAATTTCTTATTTTGCTTGATTTCAAATTTAATTGAATCACAAATCCCTTGCATTGAAAATTGCTAAACAATTCCATGATGTCATCATAAGTAAAAGTTAAAAATTTACTACTACTAGGGAGCCTAAATAATTGAAATTAATAAACCTAAATACTTAAAATTAATAAAATTGGTGTTTATAATAAAAATACATAATAAAACGAAAATGTAAAAACCACACCTTAAAAAAAAAGCCGCATACCGCTTTACCTTATACCTTTACTAGTGATAGATTTTTAACATTAAAGATCACTTACTTGTAATATCAGATATGCATCAGTTGCACATGGTTTCAATTCTTTAGGTGCTTTGTTGTTTGTTTGAAGTCTTACATCGGCTGGATTCACTTTTAATTTTCCTATAACAATATGACACACAACACAATATAATTGTTTTTATAATTATTTTTTATGTGGTAGAGCCATGCTGCAGTTAAATTAGTAGTATAGTTGTAGCACGAATGGGTCGGCTCGACCGGGGAAGGACCACACTCTCACAGAATACCAGCGTCAAATAGTAGCTTAATGCTGCTGTGTTTCGTATGGTGAGTGTAGAGAACCGGAGACCCTTTTTACTGGAAACGAGGCATTCCATCTAAGTCCTCACGGGTGACAACGCATCTGCATTTTGATTCGTAATCGAGGATAGATGTAGATGTCTATGGGCCACAGCAACCACTTACCATCAGGTGGACTGTGTGCTCGTTTGTAACCCTATCCTTTAAAAAAAAATTAAAATCACTGTAGTAATGTAATATGCACTACTGTGTAAGCGAACAAAAAAATATTATTAAGTATAATACTGCATAGTGACAGTGTAAGAATACCACTACGCCATATCATCCCATGGGAGTCATAGGAGACGAAAGATAGAAACAAATAGCAGCAGCGTCTTTCTAATAATGATTAAAAATAAAAAACTGCAGTTGTCAACCCGCTTGCCAAGCGTGGCAACTGTGGTAAATACCCTCCCTATGAGGCAATCTATGTAGGAGGCCTATGTTTAGTAGTGGACTTTATTAGGCTGTAATGGTAAGCATAGTAAAATTGTAATTAAAGTAAAATTACAGCCTATATACGTCCCACAGCTGGCACAGGCTTCTTTTCATTTCTCAGAGGGTTGTGGAACAATTAGTTGGCAGCACTGTTTCAGTGCGTGTTAGCTTCGCCGACATGTTGTGAAGTCATATGTTCTCGAAGTTTGTTATTCCTCAGGCACGCATGATTCCTCACGATATTTTCCTTCCTAATCGAGCATTGAGCATATGATAAATCTTTAATGATACATTAAATATCTCTTCAAACTAGGTAAGACACATCATTTTATTAATATCTTTATTACATTAAAGATATTTAAATTAATTAGCTAAGATCCGCGTAATATTATTAATAGCTAATTAATTCTAACATATTTTCTTTTCTATTAATTACCTAAATGGTACAATTTAAATCAAAATGTTAGGAATTATAATTTCAGCATTATGAAAAGGTTTACCAATGAACCTACGAAGAGTGGTGATAGTAAATACAAAATGGAAGAGGTCCATGTCCCGCAGCGGACTTTAACGGGCTGGTAAAGAAAGAGAAAGAGAAGAAAAGAAATCAATGTTCTGTAAAAGGACCTAGTTTAAATAGAACCAATTACATACATAGGGTATACTATAAGTGTAAGAATATCCAAAACCCGACATTGTCCCATGAGTGTTGTAAGTGGCGACAGACAGAAACAAACCAGGAGATGGGCAGCAGCGTCTTCCTGATAACAAGAAACTGCAGTTGCCAACCCGCCTGCCAAGCGAAGAAACCATGGCAAATATTCCACATATGAGGTAAGCTGTGGAGCAGGCCTATGTTTAACAGTTGACTTTTAATAGGCTGTAAAGGTAATGGATAAAAAGAAATGTTTTATTTATTATCAAAATAGTTACCGTCTGCTTCAGCAAGCGCGCGTTCGAAAACGAGTGCGACGAGTTGCCGCACAGTAGCAGCTGCCGCATGACTCGTACTGACATCGCGTGTCTCGCTTGCTGACACCGTTCGCATGCACATCACCATTGTCTAGTAATGATAAATCAACAGCTCTTTATAGTAATAGAGGCAATACTATCATTTACAAATAGGATTTTTAATGAGCTCAATCTGACTTAATGTACTCATAAGAGAAGTAGTAAAAGTTTCGTATAAGTAAGCCATTCATTTAATAAACACTACTCTAGGGACTTTTTGTTGTGCATGCTCCGAGCTTACGACCGGCAATAAAAACCATGTCTCAGATTCATATGTCATCACAAGCAACATGCACTTGTTGTACACTCTTTTGAGAATGATTTTTATAAAATAAGGGTAACAAAGGAGCACACAGTCCATGTACATGGTTTATATGTGGTAGAGTCACACACTGCACCTATATTATGGTTGTAGCATAAATGGGTCAGTTCAACAAGGGAAGGACCACGCTCCCAATCAATCTTGCGAGATCCCGAAATTGGCGAGATCTCACAGTATTGTTATTCATAAACTTACGGGATCTTGCTTGAGCCCCAATCTCGCGAGATTTGCATTCCCTATTTGGTATGCTTTATAATTTGACCATTTCTTTACATTTTTCATATACTTATTGACCATTTCTTTACATTTTTCATGTGCTTATTGACCATTTCTTTACATTTTTCATGTACTTACATACATACTATATCAATTATTGAAATTAATATTGAATGATTAATAATAAAGAAGATTGATTTATTTAATTGTTGTTATTTCATTACAATTTAAGAAGATTTTATGGTAAATGATAAAAAGCATTGTTTTACTTTAAAAAATGTCATTTTACTAAGACTAAAAAATTAAGGGTGTCCGGCCTTTTTACCAAAATGTCCGGCTAAGCTCGCTGGTCTTTCTGGCTTTTCGGTTTAAAGACCTGGCAATCCTAAGTACACCAACAGTAAGAGGCTAATACAGTCCATGAATGCATGAAGCCAACTTAAAAATAAAGAAGAATATGAATGCATTGTCACTAATGAGTACTAAAATGCTTCACAGCCTGTAATTATTTGACTCTCCAAGACTATGATGATTATTTAACCCTCTTCAGGCCAGATAAAAGCAGAATAAACACTGCTATTTCACAGCAGAAATAAAGAATGGTATGTATTTCTATATTGAAATATTATGAAATGGAATATTAATAAGATTAGATCTTCTTTTGAGCAAAACATATTTATAAAATAATTATTGATCAATTCACACATAATGTACTTAATTCATTATATATTGTGTCGTTTTTATTTATGACCTTAAATGTATTAATTGTGACTTCATTATTTAAATTATCATTAAAATATGTCACATTGCTTGGCACTTGAAATAAGACATATCCTTAAATAATATTATAATATATATTGTCCAGTGTTGTATGTTATACATACTAATGATTAGGATGATGAAGATGACTATTGTGAAGATGATTACATTGACAGTAACTAAATTACTAATGCCCTAGTAATCTTACCCTGGCCAATGTGTCTCCATGTACCAGATCCGATGTGGTCATCAACAGAGCAGCAGTTTGAAGAAGTTTCAACTCCAATACACCAGCTTGCCCTAAGTTGTACAGGCAGTCAACTACATGTCGAGCACCTTTGGCATCTATTCCTTGCTGGGCTATAAGTCGCTGTATGGTGCCCAAACAAAACTACAAAAACAAATTAAGAAAATCAATGAATAAGATCCATGTTTGATATTGCTCTACCTCATCCTGAACATAGTTTAAACAATGTCAAGGAATTGAAATAAAGATAAAAAGAATATAAATTATGTTATATCTATATAAAACCTTCATGTATATTATAATAGGCAAAACAAATTATTTATTTTAACTTTTAAACTATAAGAAAATCACACTTTATTATATATTTTCGAGACTTTTTCAGCCTTCTTAAAGCACTATGAAGTGTTTTAGAAAGTTAGTTCTTACCTTGATAATTTTAATGTCTTTTGATTCGCATCCTTGTACTAAGGGATACAATATTTGATTTACAACCCCATACAATGATGCTTGTGGATTATTTGAGGCAAGCGAGAGCTTCTCTATAGCCTCATCACAGGCCTGGAAACAAAGGTATAACGCATCTTATATTAAAGCTTATATTAAAATATAGCACAAATATTTATTTAAAAAAAATATAATTTTTTAAATATTATTAGAGCAAGTAATAAAAGCGCAGTGTTTGTTAATCAATAAAAATTAAAAAAAAATCAATAAAAATAGTATTCCTTGTCCTATTGTAAGTAAATAAGTGTTTCTGGTGGTCAACTTAAATATTGACTAATATATCCTTTACAATAAGTTATAAGAATTTAAACCTTTTTTCCAATTTATTTATAAACAAATAAAAGAATTTGTTTTAATAAATGTCGATAAATAAAACATGAATACAAAACCTCTCTTATCTGAGGATATTTCTTTTTAGTTTCCAAACTAAGTGTTTTGAAGTCATTTTGTAAAACGTCCAGGAATTTCTTCGTGGAGTCATCACCAGTCACAGCACTCACGAATGCCATTTTTTAAATTGAAATTCATCAATTTAATCATTCATTTTATAGTTTACTTGTAAATAAAACTATGCAGCTTAAATATTTAATAATAGCATACGAAAATATACCAGTGACATGTACACAAGCGACATCACTACTTTGTGTTCATAAATATAAACCAAAGAAAATTAACGCTTTACATTTTATTTCTTGATCTTTTTTAACGATTATGTATTTATTTTAATTCACATTTTCACTTATATTTTCATTTCTATAAACCATATTAAACTAATAAGAAATTAGCTATTAACTTATTACCAAATCAATATCACTTTTTTATTACTGAACGCAAAATGCAGGGCTGGACATATGAAGCAAAAGCATAGACTTAGTACTCTTCATAGATTACTCAATATACACTTTAGTACTCTTACACAAACTAATAAGAGTACTAATGTAGTACTTTTATTAGCTTTGAGTATTAAACCAAAGGAGACGGCATCGCAATGCATACCCCTCTGTAAAAGGTACGAGAGTCCGACTCATACTTGTTATATAAAACTAGTTGCTCCGCGTCGTACGTCATTTCGAAGTGATCGTGCCAGTAAATCGAGCTCCGACAAAATGACGAATTGCAGTATATTTACATGAAAAATAAAACAATCAAAAACGTCAAGTATACAAAAGGACAATGTGACTTTTATTTGTGAGTATTTTTAACATAGTGAAAAATATACTATTTTTAAAAAAATATAATTTACTGCACAAGTTATATATATTAACGAAAATATATTTTCTAATAACTAAATCAGTTTGTGATGAATAATAATCATTACATATAGATGTGTAGTGGATTTTCTTAAATGATTTATATATTCAGCTCAATTTTAATACTGATACTGAATATTATATAATTAAATATAATCAATAACTAGTATTTATTAAAATATTATACAAAATACAGGCCAAATAAGTCAAATCGAAACTTGTTACCTCGTAGCAAAAGTGTGCAATTTTTATAAAAATAAACTGGTATCACTGCAACAGAAAGTATTGCACTATAGTGATGAACGCAGCTACCTTAGCTATCGATAAGTTAATTAACCATGCGGGTTTGTCTGCCGAACCGGTTTGTAGTTTTTATTTAGATTTTATGATAAAGTATTACAAAAAGTAGTAAATTTTTCTATTATTGGTTTGTTATTACAGATTTCCAAGAGATCCTCTTTGGCGGCACACTTGGATTGTAGCTTGTAGAAACCATGAATCTGACACTGCAGCACCAACCTTGAACTTGTGGGAGGTAATGTTGGGCTGTTATATTTAGATTAAATATTTTTATTATTACATTTAACACCAATATTATTCTACTTCAAAATATTTTATTAAGTTTACAAAAGCACTAACCTATCAAATTTAATTCATATATTTATATACCTATTAATGTAATTGTAAACTTAATGTAGTATGATTTTTGTACGCCATAAATGGCAAAACATGTACTCGTTTTAAATTTTTTAACACTTGTATTTTATTTACCCATATTTTACAAAATAAATATCTTTGTCATTTATATATATATATATATATATATATATATAGCTTGAATCTTCTGACTAAAACAAAATTATTTATTTTAGGGTGATCGTGGTGAATGCCGTGTAGTGGCGGTTAAGAATATCCACTACCCCATATCTTCCCGTGGGTGTCGTAAGAGGCGACAGAGGGAGACAGGCAGGAGATGGGCAGCAGCGTCTTCCTGATGACAACTGTGACGTAATAAAAAACTGCGGTTGCCAACCCGCTCGCCAAGCGTGGCAACTATGGCAAATACCCCCCAATGAATAAATACACAAACAGACGGCCCCCAGTCCCCGGCGGCCCCGCTATTCCTGGCTACGGTGGCGACCATGGTAACGGCGGGGCAGGGGTGCTAAGAATCTCCGGTGGAGGTTCGGTTGCCACCTACGACGACTCGACCTGGCAACATATAACGCACGCACCCTGAGGACTGACGAGAAGATACTGGAGCTGGAAGAAGAGGTAGACAAGTTGCGCTGGCATATTATTGGATTATCCGAGGTCCGAAGAGAGGGGGGAGGACACGGCAATCCTCGAGTCCGGCAACTTGTTCTATCACCGGGAGGGCGACCATCTGTCCCAAGGAGGTGTCGGATTTATCGTCCACAAATCTCTCGTCAACAACGTTGTAAAGATTGGGAGTGTGTCGACGAGGGTCGCGTACCTGATACTCAGAATCACCAAACGGTATTCGCTGAAGGTCATTCAGGTTTACGCACCAACCTCGGCACATCCCGATGAGGAGGTGGAGGAAATGTATGAGGATATTTCCAGAGCCATACATTCCTCCAAAACCTACTACACGGTGTTGATGGGAGACTTCAACGCAAAACTGGGCACAAGAGAAAGCGGTGAGCTGAAGGTAGGGAAATTTGGAGTAGGGCAACGGAACCGAAGGGGCCAGCAGCTGGCCGACTTTATGGAGAAAGAGGGACTCTTTATGATGAACTCTTTCTTCCAGAAGCGGCCCCACAGGAAGTGGACCTGGTCGAGCCCCGACGGTTCGACAAAAAATGAGATTGACTTCATTATGACGACCAGACGCCAACTGTTCAGTGATGTCTCAGTGATCGCAAGGGTGAAAACTGGCAGCGATCACCGAATGGTTAGAGGCACACTGAACCTAAACGTTAAGTTGGAGAGGTCTCGTCTAATGAAGTCAACGCTCCGTCCCCCTCGTGCTCTAATCCAGAATCCCGAAACCTTTCAGCTCGAGTTACGTAACCGCTTCCAGTGCCTAGAAGATTGCAATGCAGTGGACGATATGAACGACAAGCTCGTGGAAACTGTCCATGCGGTCGGAGCTAAGTTCTGCAAGACCCGCCGCAGAAGAACACAAAAACTCTCCGATCACACTCTTAATCTCATGGCTGTTAGACGGGAGATGAGGCTGCAATCGTCAACAGATTTGACAGCATACAGGCAACTGAACAGACAGATCTCCAAATGCATACGGCGAGACTTACGCAACTTTAATACTTCTCGTATTAAAGAAGCGATCGAGCGGAACCAGGGCTCCAAAGTCTTTGCCAGAGATCTGTCTGCCAGAAAGAGCCAACTGTCAAGGCTGAAGACTGAGTGTGGCAACATCGTTTCCGGGACACCTGAGATTTTGAGTGAGATTGAGAGGTTCTATGGGCAGCTGTACACATCATCGTTGGAGCCACACGCAAGTGTGAGTAACGATCCAAGAGCAAGTCTTATCCGACACTATTCCGATGATATCCCGGACGTCAGTCTAAGCGAGATTAGAATGGCTCTCCAGCACCTTAAAAACGGCAGGGCCCCAGGCGAGGATGGAATTACAGCGGAGCTTCTGAAAGCGGGTGGAACACCGGTACTTGAAGTCCTTCAGAAGCTCTTCAATTCCGTCCTCCATGGTGGCACTACTCCAGAGGCGTGGAGCAGAAGTGCGGTGGTCTTGTTCTTTAAGAAAGGCGACAACGCTCTCTTAAAGAACTACAGACCGATTTCCCTTCTGAGCCGCGTCTACGTGCTGTTTTCGAGAGTCATTACGAATCGTCTCGCACGCAGACTTGACGACTTCCAGCCTCCCGAACAAGCCGGTTTCCGAAAAGGCTTCAGTACCATAGACCACATACATACCCTGCGGCAGATTGTACAGAAGACTGAAGAGTACAATCTGCCACTTTGCCTGGCGTATGTGGACTATGAGAAAGCCTTTGATTCCGTCGAAATTTGGGCGGTGCTACAGTCCCTTCAGCGGTGCCAAGTTGACTGTCGGTATATCGAAGTGCTGAAGTGTTTGTACAGTAGGGCTACGATGGCTATCCGAGTACAGAACCAGAGCTCGAAACCTATCCAACTGCAGAGAGGTGTAAGACAGGGTGACGTTATATCCCCGAAACTCTTCACCGCTGCATTGGAAGACGTTTTCAAGCTACTGGACTGGAAAGGATACGGTATTGACATCAATGGCGAGTACATCACTCACCTTCGATTTGCCGACGATATAGTCCTTATGGCAGAATCGCTGGAGGACTTAAGCACTATGCTCAATGACCTCAATAGTGCCTCCCAACGGATAGGTCTTAAGATGAACATGGACAAAACAAAGATCATGTTCAATGTCCATGTCACACCTATGCCGGTAGTTGTTGGGAGCACTATGCTCGAAGTTGTTGACGAATACGTTTACCTGGGACAAATAGTCCGACTAGGTAAGTCCAACTTCGACCGAGAGGTCAATCGACGGATTCAACTCGGCTGGGCAGCGTTCGGGAAATTACGGCATATCTTTTCGTCAGGTATACCTCAATCTCTAAAAACTAGATTGTACAACCAGTGCGTGTTGCCAGTGATGACTTACGGATCTGAGACGTGGTCCTTCACTGCTGGCCGTATGAGGACGCTTAAGGTCGCTCAGCGAGCTATGGAGAGGGCTATGCTCGGAGTTTCTCTGCGTGATAGACTCAGAAATGAGGATATCCGCAGTAAAACCAGAGTGACCGACATAGCCCAACGGATTAGTAAGCTGAAGTGGCAATGGGCCGGCCATATAGCTCGAAGAACCGATAACCGATGGGGAAGAAAGGTTCTCGAGTGGCAGCCTCGTACCGGTAGGCGTAGTGTAGGGCGACCCCCCACTAGATGGAGTGACGACCTGGTAAGACATGCAGGAAGTCGATGGATGCAGGTGGCTCAGGACCGTGCTTTGTGGCATTACTTGGGGGAGGCCTATGTTCAGCAGTGGACTGTGTGTGTGGTTGTGAAGGGCTGTAATGATGGTGGTGAGTGCACAATATCGTCTACATCGAAAAAAGAAAGCTGGATGTTCCGGCAAAATTCCATAAGTTATCTCGAAAGTCACAATTCGAAAAAAAATCCTTATATAGCCCGAACTAGTCCTACTCCCACTGTGAGTACGAGCCAACACTGGAAAATTAGAATGAAAAAATAGCATAAACAGGATTCACAAGTTTGCA